AAAAAAAAAAGGAAACTCTGTCCTCACAAAGAGATAAAGACACTGCAGCCCAGGTAACCTCAGCAGGCAGTGGCCAAGCCAGGAATGGGATGTGTCACCACAGGCCCTGTGCTGAGAACTGAGTGACAGGCCTGAAGCTCATCTTAGAAATGGCTGGAGCTGGGGGAGAACATGGGGGAATCGATCATGTTCACCTGACTGCAGGCTGCACTTGTCTCAGGAATAACGCCCTGTTCTCCCTGCCTGAAAGCCACGAGGAGCACAGGGAAATCAGAGCAGGGCCAGGCAGTGCCGAACAGTGCGCAGTCAGACTCACGACATCGAGTAGACTGAACGGGTAAAGACGTGCAATGTCAGCCCAGAGCATGGGTTCAATTAGCCACGCAGGATGCACTGCGTAGGGATGCCTTTTCATGAAACCAGCTGCAACAAGTCAAGGAAACACTGTGCTGGGCTATTCGTTTCTTCCCTGAATGCCTCCTCCTCCCAGGACATTGTGGATTTGTTCGGCAGATAGTACTCACCATGTCCATGATCAGATGTCCACAAAGAAAACATCTGTCGGCAGACTGCTGGAAGCCAGAGTACTGCAGAGGAAGAAAAGGAAAGTTAAACCCGGGCCAAGTGCATGAATCAGCCAAGAGAATGATATGGAACTGAGAAAGATGTGTAACCCTGTGCAGGAATCTGTCATCTGCTCAAGGACAGCACAACTGTGTGCTGAGTCATGGACCCTCCTCTGGCCACAAAAGGTATTACGCATACTAATGCCACTCACCCCAACCACACACGGAATGCCAGGCTCTGTTCCCTGGCATCACCTGGAAACTTGTAAGAACTGAAGACTCTTAAATCCCACAGCAGAGCCACTGAACTGGAAGCTCAGGTACAGGGTCTGGCAATCCGTATTTTCACAAGCCCTTCAGGGGAGCTCTGATGCATGCTCAAGTTGGGGATCACCTCTTAAATCTTAAAACAACTCTACAAGGTATATACTGTTATCCCGATTTGTCAAAGGGAAGCAAGGAGAGCTCTGAGAGGTCAAGTTTTTTTTTTTCTTTTTGGTACCGGGGATCGAACTCAGGATCTTTTGCTTTCGAAGCAGGCGTGGTGCCGCTGAGCTAAATCCCCAGTCCCTCCCAGAGGTTAAGTGATCTCTGAGGATTGCCTCAGTCACACAACCAATTTGGGGTAAGGACAGAATTGAGATTAAAGTCTGGTTCTCATTAAAAAGCTAATGTCATGCTGTGGGTGGAGCTCAATGGTAAAGCATGTGTTTAGTATGTGTTCAATCCCCAGTGGCAGAATAAAATTAAAATGCTAATGTTTTCTACAGTTAGCTTCAAAAAAATGATAAACATCTACTTTATCACCCCCCCCCACACACACAGGGTCTTGAAAAGTCTTGAAAGCATCCTGGAAACTGGGCATCGTGGCACCCGCCTGTCATCCCAGCACTCTGGGAGGCTGAGGCAGGAAGATCACAAGTTTGAGCCCCAGCGAGACTTTTTCTCAAATTAAAAAACAGGCGGGAGGAGCTGAGGACGTGATTCAGTGTAAAGACCCCGGATTCTATCCCCACTGTGAAAAAAGAGGTTTATGATGGCGATGAAGGAGGAGGACAGAGCGGGGAAGGAAAGGGGGCAGAACCAAGCCTGCTGGATTCTACACACTGGTAGATATCTGAAGCTCAGGTACTAGAAATGCAACTTAATGGGAAAGGTACTGACTGGAAAGGCGGGAAAGGGAAAAATGGAGACCTTTCCCGCAACCACACGGCACATAGCCTAGGGTCAGCTGCGCATGCGCAGGCTCAACATTCTTTTGCCTGGGATCCAGCCCCACCCCCAAGTGAGGTTCCAGTAGCTCTGGTGGGGCGGGCCCTGGCTCAAGCCTGGCCAATCAGAGTCCTGCATTCCTCCAGTACCAATGACTTTGGCCCCGGGTGGGCATGTGACCCACACATGGGCAATGAGTGCCAGGGATCCGTCTTCAGGCGGCAAAGGAGGGCTGGGCACGTGCACGTCTGTGACGCCGAGGCCCACGGTGCCAGAGCAGTTTGCGTTTGGTGTCTGTTACTAGCAAGCGAGAGCCATGATGAGCCACCTCCTCCCGGAAAACTAAAGGGAGCTCAGGAGACAGACTCAGAGACTGACACGATGGGGCTCAGCGCGGCCCCACAAGCAGGGCGACGGCTGACGCTGAGGCGCGGGCCCTGGGAGCTGCCCGGGGCCCTGGACTGGCAGAGGCGGGAGGCCGGGCCACACACTCACCAGGAAGTCTTCCTCACAGAATACTTTGCCGTTGACGAAGTAGAAGGCTTTTCCTCTCAGTCTCCGGCCTGAGGAAGGAACGCAAGGCCAGGGTAAAAAAAACCTTAGCACAGAGAGAAGGGGAGGCTGGAGCCAGCCCACAGCCCTTGCTGCGGTGTTTGTGCCTGTCGGATCGAGAGCTGCTTCCGGTTGCTTCCCGGAACTTGGTCCTCTCTGGAGATGCTACATTCCCGAAGATGTAACTGTCATCCCAAGTCTGCGTCACCAGAGCGTTGGGCAGTCAAGGCTGTGCTGGGAAATCCCGCCAACGATCAGAAGACGGTGCATACAGAACACCATCAAATCAGTAAGAAGATGGTCAATAACCCAGTGAGGAAAATGAGCCTAGGGTAGGAGAGGCCAGTGTGCAGAAACGGCTTGGGCCACAACCAGGGCTGTTAATAACAACCTAGTAACCACAACATAGTAAAAGACACCAATCCACCAGCTGACACAAATGAAAACACCATGAGATTCCACCTTGCTCTGAGGATTAGCTATAAAACCACTATACTCAACAAAACGTGTTTGGTGACTGCGGGTGCAAGGGTCCATTGGGATGACCGCCTGGGAACACTTTATCAAGCACCACTAGAGCTGCAGAGCCACATGAACCCCAGCACAACGCCAGGGTTGCCCTTAGAAGATCCCCAAATGTGCATCAGGGGACCACATGCTGATGGCAGGGCAATGCTGTTTACAGAGAACCAGGAGCACCTTCAATGTTTCCCACAATACAAGATTTGATAATAAACGGAGGAAGACTAGAATTATACTCAGTGCATGAGGTACTACATAGCAGTCAACAGGAAAGGATTTAATCTATATATGTCTTTTGGGGGGGGGGTTGTTTTTTTGAGACAGGGGCTCACTATGGAGTTCAGGCTGGCCTTGAACTCATTATGTAGCCAAGGCTGTCCTAGAACTCATGACAATTCTCCTGCCTCAGCCTCCTGTGTGCTGGGATTACAGGCCTGAGCCACCATGCCTGGCCATTGATAGAGCCACACTCAGAGTTCATTACAGCAGCTGCCCTAGGAAAGGAAGAGGCAGGATGAGAAGGAGAACCAAGGTGATTCTTAGTGATCTAGCATATTCTATTTCCTTTATAAAAATACACAGAACCAAAATAACATACATGCCTGTGCATTCTAGGTGATAGGTAAATAAGTCTTATTTTCCACATGTAAAACACTCAGACACAGACACATACACATACCTCTATCTTTAGATAAAACACCATAAACCAAAGGCAATAACAAACTAGAGAAAACATCTGTGCTATATGACAGAAAAAGATTAACCTCAATATGCAAATAACTCAATAATAGCTCTATATGAAAAAGAGTCAAGAATGGGAAAAGACCAGACAGCCAAGGTGGTGCACATCTTTAATCCCAGCACTCTGGGAGGCAGGCTGAGGCAGGAAGACCTCAAGATCTAACCTAGCAAGTTCTAGCAATTTAGTGAGTCCCTGTCTCAAAATAAAAAATTTAAAAAAGGCTGGGGATGTACAGTAGTTCCATTAAAAGGCCCTGGGTTCAATCCCCAGTACTGCAAAAGTAAATAAATAAATAATGGGAAAAACAAGCCACAAAGGAAGAATGAAAGACCAGTACTATAAAAAGAACCCTCTAGCTTTCCCCATATTTAAAAGACTATAAATTAGAATAGGCGCTAGGGGTGCAGCTCCATGACAGAGCGCTTGCCTAGCACATGTGAGACCTTGGGCTCAACCCCAGCACTGCAGAAAATAAACAGTAAGATATATTGTGCTTTACTGATCACATTGGCAAAGGTCGGAAAGAGTGGCGCTCAGGGTTGGTAGCAACACAGACTTTCACGCTCTTTGGGGTTCAGTAGACACTGAAACAAATTTTTAGGAAAGAAATTTGGTATTAAATATCCGTAGTTTCTTTAGTCCCTGTTCCTGCTGGTGTGCTAGAGCCAGTTTATGCCAGCTTGGGACAACGGGCCAAATAATATACAATAAGTCTTTTTTTCCTGTATATATAATTTATATATATAATTTATTAGTATGCTACTGCTTTGTTCCTGTAAGTCATCAAAAATCTGTTAAATTTCTAGCAAGCTATATTCCTCAGCATGTTTTTGTTTGTTTGTTTTGGTACTGGGGATCGAACTCAGGTCCTTGTGCTTGTGCAGCAGGCAGCGAAACCACTGAGCTAAATTAAATCCTCAGCGCCCCCATGAGTCTAAAAAAAAAAAAATCTGTAGTTCTGATTGTTTTTACCCAGAAAGGTCTACTTCAGTAATTTATAGAAAAATCATCAAAATTAGATTATCTAGAAGATCTTCATCTCAGCACTATATACAGTAGCTTACCAAGAATGAACATGAACCAAACGTCCAGTTCTTATGAAATAAATGCAGACTTTTTTTTCCCAGTACCGGGGATCGAATTCGGGACCTTCCTCTTTTGAGGCAGGTGGCACCACTGAGCTAAATCCCCGGCCCTCTTAGGAAATAAATGATGGTGGGCCGGGGATTTAGCTCAGGGGTTCCAGTGTCTGCCTTGCAAGCGCAAGGTCCCTGAAGCGTTCCGAAGCTGCTCCTCTCTCAAAGCTACGGCCGCCCTCACTTCTAGAAGGTTCCCATCCTGAAGCCTCACAGCTATTTCCTGACTCTGCCAACCTAGGCTGACAAGAATGTCTTCGGCCCAGTGACTTCAGGGTTCACCAACAGAACGCCCTGCACGGCCATGAAATTAGTTGTGATTTCTCGCTTAAGCCTTTCTCTCTATAAGGACCCGAGCAGGCTCAGCATTTGGGAAAAGGAGATGCCAGAGTTTCTCTTCTGCCTTTTGCTCCATTAGACACCTGGGTGGGAGATGTGCTGCCCTCAGCCCTCCCAGGAGCGACGCGACAGGGACCCAGTCAGCCCTCTTTGGGAAGAGCTGCGTCACCAGCAAGGAAAACGAGCCACTCATTCATTGTCTGATCACAAATAAGTCCAAGACCACCGGGGCTGGCGCTTTGGCCCTTCCTGGAGAGCAGAGGCTGTAGTTCCGGAGGGGGCCACTAGAGGGAGCCAGGCTGCCTGCAGGAAACAGGACTTCCGGGGCGGGGCGGGGCGGGGCCTCCCCCGCCTCCCCCCCCCCCCCCCGCCCCACCCCACTCTGGGAGCTGCCCAGCAATCCGAGCCTCTGTTGCAGAAACCACGGAGGAAGATCACCACGGATAACAGGGTTTTAACAAACACATCCACAAGAGCTTTGTCATCTGTGAGGGCGACAGGGACGCCGAGGCCTGGGCGGCTGGCACTGTGCTGTCCTAAGCTACTGGTGGGGGTGGGAAGCACTCAGCTCTGACTCACGGGGCCATCCCGTACCCAGCTTTGCAAAACAGTGACCAGTGTGGGTAAATATTTACTCGGCTCCACACTGGAGGCCTGAGAGGAACAATTACATAACACGGAGCACATCTCAATCGTGAAGTGTCACACAGCCACTTAAAATGCCACCTGGGCAGTTCCCGGGACACCGGAAGATGCCCACGTGGCAGGAGGGGCTGGAGGACATTCCGGTGTGCTCAAGGAGGCGCCGCTGCAGAATGAACACTCCGATCGGTCGCCGTCAGCACGGGGAATTTCACTTCCCACTTCACGTACTTCAATATTCTAAACTTCACTCCAGTATTAGGTACACTGGTGGGTAGTAGCTGAGGGACAGAAATCTCACTTCCGTGTATGTGTTGTACCAGGTTGAATCCAGGACCTTCTTAGTGACGTCCCAGGCCCTTTTGAGACAGGGGCTTGCTCAAACTGGTGTTCTCCCTGCCTCAGCCTCCTGGCGTGCTAGGATCACAGGCCCACACCACTTAGCAGGCTGAAACTGTGCCTTTTCTTTTTTTTCTTGTTTACTTCATTTTGATATTCCGTTTTTCTAGAATGATGTGTAATGTGAAGACATTATTTTAAATTAATATAAAATCTTATACTATGAAAAGAAAAAACACTTAAGAATTGTGTATCTCAAAAAAAAAAAAAAAAAAGAATTGTGTGTCTAACCTACATGAAGAGGAAGTCCACCATCGAGTAAGGGCAGGTGATATAGGTTTGTATGTTGTTTGCTTCTTCGGCCTTCCCTGCCCTTCCCTAAATGTCTGCTGATGAACAAGCACTACTCTGAGTTTCATTTTATTTATTTAGGCTTTTTTTTTGAGACAAGGTCTTGCTATGTAGCCCAGGCTGGCCTCGAATTTGAGGTGATTCTCTTGCCTCAGACTCCCAAGTGCTGGGATCACAGGTGTGCGCCACCCTGCCTGGCTTGAGCTCCATTTTAGAGCTCACCCAGCTGGCTACAGGCACCTCCCTGCCCCTGGATCTGGGCACCCCCCCCCATCCAGACACCAGAGGCTGGGGAGGGGCCGAGCAGCTGCATCTGACCTCCCCTTATCCAAAATTCAAAACCCGAGGCCCCTCCCCACAAATAGACCCTAGAGGGTGGAACTGACTTGCTCTTAACAACTCAAACTGCAGTTTTCACTCCAGGTTTTAAAACCACCAGAGCTCGGAAACTGCACACGGCATTCAGTGGGTTGGTATGGTGTCAGAGCAGGGCAGAAAAGGGACCGACACCTGCTGATGGCTTCTATGTTCCAGGCACCGTGTCTGGGGCTTTCGAGTTTTCTGAAAGTGATTTAAAGCCTTGCCGTGTTATGCATCATAGCCCCACCCCATCCCTCACTGCCACCTGTCCTCACCAGGAAGTGCACACAAGCACTTCCCCCTCCAAGTCGCCCCACTCCAGGTGTCAGAGCCTGGAGAGGGTGCCCGGCACAGTGAGGCAGAAGTGAAGGCACACCTTGGTGGTATCTAGGGCAAGCCTAGGACAAGAGAACGCATACTCCCAGCTGGGCGAGGGGGCACACACTACACCCTCAGCCCAAAACGCGATTCCTTCACAAGTGAGGAGACCGCAGTTCCCCAAGAGGGCGGGTGTCCCCCACCCTGACGTCTATGCTTGATGCATGGCACCAGGGGGCCACCAGCATTACTGAGTGCCACC